TAATCATTTATTCAGCAAACATTGATGGAGATGCGGACAGACAGGGACAAAGGACCAAAGGGTTTAAACTGAGACGGGCCAATATAGGGCAGAAAGCTGGGGAAACTGGTGCGGATGGCAAAGCAGCAAGGACAGAAAATCAACTAGTTGAAGTCAGTGCCCCCGCAGCAGGAGTGAAGCAGAGGCATGCGAATCTGGACTGGGCTTTTGTAGACACGGTTGAGAGACTGAGATTCAGAACTGACCTTCCAGTTTCCCAGGATGGATGCTCCAGCTGAATAGGACAAATCACAAGCTCAAGATGGGCTCCTATGATCACCTTTGAAATGGTTTGCCAGAGAAAGTGGAACTTACAACTGATCAGGAATCTCAACCCAACTACAATTTGTGAGACATAACAACATACAGGAAATACATTTTACAGGAAGTACAGTGGTCAGAGAAATATGTTAAAGAACACAGTGGAGTTGCAATCAGCAAAATCCAGACAAAATCCAGGCTACACAGCAAATGACCTGGTTACCCCCAAGGAAAGCCAGAGAGAGAGAGAGAGAGAATGGTAGTTGAAGGGGAAACCCATAGATTTAAAGAGATTTCAAAGAAGCTTATCAGTCAGTTGCAATGTATACATCTTGTTTGGATCCTGATTCAAACAAATACATCGTATAAAGAAAAGACATGTATGAAAAACTGGGAATTTGAACTCTATAGATCTGATATTAAGGAATTAACCTTACATGAAATGTGTGATTAGGTATATTCATTGCACTTATTTTTTAAAATATATACATTTTATTGAAGTATAGTTGACTTACATTGTTTCAGGTGCTCAGCAAGGTGATTCAGTTATACAATTTATATTATAGTTATATAATTTATATTATTTTTGACATTATTTTCCATCATATGTTATTATAAGATATTGACTATAGTTCCCTGTGCTATACAGTAAATCTTTGTTGCTTGTTGCATATCTATTTTTTAATTAGAAATCTAGCGTTCTATTCATACTAAGTCAAACAAGTGGAATCAAAATGTCATAATTTTTTAGTTAGGCAAAAATTAGTAAGTTTCCTAAAAAATATATATCTTACATATATATGTATAAAAAAGCTTTTCTGCTACACTGTGACGGCCCACACTCTGTCTCTGGAGTGTGCTTCTCTCTGTGTCTGAATAAATCCACTTCTTACCTGTCACTTTGTCTCTCAATGAATTCTTTCTGTGATGAAACATCAAGAACCTGAGCTTCAGTAGGTCCTGAAACCAAGTACCATGGGTTTTGGCTGTGTTTGAGTTCCAGCCACACGGGTTTAAGTCCCAAGCAGGGTTTGGCTGGGTTCTGCCTGCAACGCAGGAGCCACGGGAGACACAGTTTCCATCCCTGGGTCAGGAAGATTCCCCTGGAGAAGGGCAAGGCAACCCACTCCAGTATTCTTGCCTGGAGAATCCCATGGACAGAGGAGCCTATCCTGGGCTACAGGACGGGGGGTCTCAAAGAGTTGGATGCAGCTGAAGCGACTTAGGACTTGGAAGAGCATACATACACGTATTTTCATCCACCCAGCCAGTCTATGCCTTTTAGTTGGTGTGCTTAATCTATTTACATTTAAGGCAATTACCGATATGTATGATCCTATTACCATTTTCTTAATTGTTTTGGGGTTATTTTCTGTAGGTCTTTTCCTACTCTTGTGTTTCCTGCCTAGAGAAGTTCCTTTAGCATTTGTTGTAAAGCTGATTTGGTGCTGCTGAATTCTCTTAACTTTTGCTTGTCTGGAAGGCTTTTATTTCTCCATCAAATCTGAAGGAGAGTCTTGCTGGGTAGAGTATTCTTGGTTGTAGTTTCTTCCCTTTCATCACTTTAAATGTGTCATGCCATTCCCTTCTGGCTTGCAGAGTTTCTGTTGAGAAATCAGCTGATAGCCTGATGGGAGTTCCCTTGTATGTTATTTATCATTTTTCCTTTGTTGCTTTTAATATTTTGTCTTTAATTTTTGTCAGTTTGATTACTATGTATCTCAGTGTGTTCCTCCTCGGGTTTATCCTTCCTGGGACTCTCTGTGCTGCCTGGGCTTGGTTGACTATTTCCTTTCCCGTGCTTGGGAAGTTTTCAGCCATTATCTCTCTCTCTCTTTTTTCCAGCTATTATCTCTTCAAATATTTTCACAGGTCCTTTCTTTCTCTCTTCTCTTTCTATGATCCCCATAATGTGAATGCATTTAATGTTGTCCCAGAGGTCTCTTAGGCTGTCTTCATTTCTTTTCATTCTTTTTTCTATATTCTGTCCTATGGCAGTGATTTCCACCATTCTGCCCTCCAGGTCATTTATTTGTTCTGCTTCAGTTATTCTGCTATTGATTCCTTCTAGTGTATTATTCATCTCTGTTTGCTTGTTCTTTCCTCCTTCTAAGTCTTTGGCAAACATTTCTTGCATCTTGTCATTCTTTGCTTTCATTCTTTTCCTGAGATCTTGGATCATCTTCTCTATCTTTAGTCTGAACTGTTTTTCTGAAAGGTTGCCTATCTCCACTTCATTTAGTTGTTTTTCTGGGAATTTACCTTGTCCCTTCATCTAAGTCATAACTTTCTGCTTTTTCATTGTGAATAACTTTCTGTAACATGGTTTGTTTTAGCTGCTGTGAGACTGTGCTTCTTGTTTCTTCTGTCTGCCCTCTGATGGATGAGACTGAGGCTTGTGTGAGCTTCCTGATGGGAGGGACTAGCAGTGGGAAAAACTGCTCTGGTGGGCAGGGCCTTGCCCAGTAAAGCCTTAATCCAATTATCTGCTGATGGGTGGGGTTGCCCTCCCTCCCTCAAGTAATTGTTTGGCCTGAGGTGACCTAGTTCTCCAGTCTGTGGGCTCTATGGTAGGGTTAATGGTAAACCCAAGAGGGTTTATGCCAAGAGGGACCGTCCAGTGCCCCCGTCCCTGCGGTGAGCCCCTGCCAAGCCACGCCTCCACAGGAGGCCCTCCAACACTAGCAGGTATTTCTGGTTCAGTCTCCTGTGGGGTCACTGCTCCTCTTCTCTGGGTCTTGGTGCACGCAAAATTTTGTTTGTGCCCTCCGAGACTGGAGTCTCTGTTTCCCTCAGTCCTCTGAAAGGCCTATAATCAAATCCCACTGGCCCTCAAGGCCAAGATCCCTGGGGATTCCCAGTCCCTTTGTCGGATCCCCAGGCTGGGAAACCTGACGTGGGGTTCAGAACCTTCACAGTAGTGCAAGAACTTCTTTGGTATTATTGTTCTCCAATCTATGGGTCACCCACCTGGCGGGTATGGGATTTGATTTGATCATGATTGTGCCCTTCCTACCATCTTGCTGTGGCTTCTTCTTTGTCTTTGCATGTGAGTTATCTTCTTTTGGGTTCCAGCGTCCTCCTGTCAATGGTTGTTCAACTGCTAGTTGCAATTTTCGTGCTCTTGCAGGAGGAGATGAGCACATGTCCTTCTACTCTGCCATCTTGAACTGGATGCATGGCTATGTTTTTAAAAAGTCATTATCTTTCAAAAATTCCTCTTGAAAAATTGACAGAGGAAATTAATTGGGAAGCGTATACATAAAATGAGATCGGCCATGGGTTAATCGTAGTTGAAGCTCGGTGATAGATATAAGGAGGTTCGTTATAGTATTCTGTATATTTTAGTTTTATTTAAAAATTTCCAAAATAGGTTTAAAGATCTTGTGATTGCTCTCACTACCCCTAGGCCTCAAAGGACAGAGGTGCTGAGTATTATAGCAGCAGATTGCAATCTGGACAGCCCTGAGGTGGGGAGGTCCTCTGTGGGCCGGTGGAGACTTTCAGGGCACTTTCAGCTGGCTCCTGGCCCAGTCCCTGGTTCCCCTGGTTTTGGGAAAGGAGAGAAGGATCAATAAGAAAGGCTGGCCTCAGTGAGCCTGCTGGCACTGGCTTCGGGCAATGCCACCTTAAGACAACTGAGGGTGTTATTGGGTGGCTCTAAAAATAGTAGGAGAAGCTGCAGCCAGGAAGGGAGGGAGTCACATGTTGCCAGTGAGGGGTTGAGGCCCGGGCAACTAGCCAGGTTCTGGCACCTCTGCCTGCTCCCCCAGAGCTCTCTTTCTTCTGCCTCTTTCTTTCCTCTTGCGCTTCATCTTTGAGAAGGCAGAGAGGTACCAAAGTGACTCTGAAACATACCCCGCCCAGTCTGACAGCCTGAGTGGACACTCATTGTGGAATCTGTGGCTGTCCTGGGACAGGTGGGACGGTCACGTGGGAGAGATGGAAGGGACAAGGACTGGGTGACCTGCCCATCGGTCACCTCCGTCTGCGGTCCAGCACCCTCCCCCCCAGGCTAACCCAGGGAAGATCCCAGATGTCCTTGTCTGGGGCATCTGCTTGGGGGTTCGGTGGCACAGGCCCAGGGATGCAAAGATCATAAGATCCCGTTCCACCCACGCCACTGTGTGGTTGGGTTGTGCTCAGCCTGGGGCAGGATGGAGAGCAGAAAGGCTTCAGAGAGGACAGGGGGCCTGTGCTGCGGCTTGAAAAGTGAGTGGAAGTTTGCTGGTAGGATGAGGGCAGAAAGGGAACTCAGGCAGAGGGAACAGCTTAGGCAGAGGGGTATAGACAGAGTGAGGTGGGGCAGAAGCCTGCGGTAGTGTTGGGGGGGGGGAGCTTAGTGAAGAGAGGCGGGAATTCTAGATAGCATGGCCAGGTACGGGCAAGGCCTGAAGGCCATCAGCCACTGGGGAGCTCAGGGCAATGGGAGTCATTAGGGTTTTAAGAGGAGAATCAAGGCAGTTAAGGTTGGTGATCTAGAAAATACACTCTGGGCCCTGGAAGGGGATGATTGGAGGGATCTTGTCATGTGAAGACCGGCTCTACCCCAGATTTAGCGCCCGCTCTGGGTGGGGATGGGGAGGGCCCTGTTGGCTGAATCCGGGCCCAGCTGCTCTGGGACACCTGCCCGGGCCTCTCCCCGCCTGCCCCCGGCTCCTGTCTCTGTCACTCACAGGCAGGGCCAGGCTGGGGCAGCCATGGCAGCAGCGCTAATCTGGATTTCTCTCCTTGTGGGTAAGTTGGGGGTCTTCTTCAGGGTAGAGGCCCAGGTTGAGGGGGTGAGAAGTTCCTCAGGGAAGGGGTCAGTCATTGGGGTGAGGCAGGGGCCAGAAGGACTTTGGGGTATAAATTCTACAGTCCGTGGGGCTCTAGGAAACTGGGGCTGGGAGCTGAGGGGTGTGGGGGGGCTGGGAACTCTGAGGGGTGGGGTATCAGGCTGGGCCTTAACCACACAGGCCTAGAGCGCTGGGGCCCTTTAATGAGCTGGTTGGGCTGGCTTCTTTCTGGGTCCAGGCTAAATTTGGCCCTGGGAAGGTGTGAGGGCTGCTGGGGCAGATCCTTTCCCTGGGCCTCCGGGTTCAGGCTTCCCTTCGCTTAGCTTCTAGTGGACTCTGGTGTGGACCCTATTCCCCCTGCATTTTAGGGGAGGCCCTAGAGTGGCTAGCAGCCTCCTCCAAGGGGTCCTTCCCGCTCCCTCCCTGCTTCCCTTCCTCTCTAGTCTCCCAGATAGTTAGCTTGGAATTCTTTTCCAACTTCCCTTACACACACACACACCACACACCCCTCTCAGTCAGACATTAATCCTTGCCCATTGTGACTCTCACTGGGGGCCTAAAATGAGGAGTGAGGAGCTTCCATGAATCCAAACCAAACTAAGGTCTGGGTCTCATCACTGATGACAGTGTATGGCACAGTCAGGGCCCCACCCACCCCTCCTGGGAGCCAGCAAAGCTGTCCCTTTCCTCTCACACATTTCTCTGGTCTCTCAGGGCCACCAAGGACTGAGTGGAAAGGGGACCTGATTCCCCGGCTGGGACTGAGGCTGGGCCGTTGTGTTTGGGGTCGTGGCTCCCCACAGGTCTCCTGGAAGGGTTGGGGGGCACCGAGGCCCAGCAGACCACCCTGCATCCACTTGTGGGCCGCGCCTTTGTACACACCCTGGACCACGAAAGCTTCCCGCACCTTCCTGAGCACGTCTTCCGTGAGAGGGGCCTGAGGGGCACTGGGGTGGGCTGGGGGGTGCCTGGCCCAGGGCTGGGGAAGGCTGCTGTCATGTCTCCAATCCCCTCTCCTCCCTTCCACTAGCTGTCCCAGCCCCTGTCCCGATTACCTACCAAGCCCACCTCCAGGGACACCCAGACCTGCCTCGGTGGCTCCGCTATACCCAGCGCAACCCCTACCAGCCTGGCTTCCTTTATGGCACCGCCACCCCAGAAGATCGTGGATACCAGGTCATTGAGGTACCAGTTGGCTGTGTCGCATGCAGCAGGGGCCCGGGGTTCACTCATTTACATGAATCACGTGCCTCTGATTTGGTGCGCTTGCTCAGTGTTCTCTCACCAGGCCCAGCTGCCCCACGTTTCTCTCCTAACCAACCTCTCAGCCCCCCTTCCCCATCCTCCAGGTCACAGCCTACAATCGGGACAGCTTCGACACCACCCAGCAGATGCTGGTGCTGTTGATTGGGGACCCAGAAGGTACCACCAGCCCTGTCCCATCCCTACCCCACCATGCCAGTCTTGGGCTAATCTCCTTTGGAAGGGGTTGTAGAAGCAACTAGTGGGGGGCAGGGCACCCTGAAAACACTGGAACTGTGTTCTCAGCTGCTCTGCTGACAGGCGAGTAGTTGAGGCTGTGGGTGCCGGGGAAGGGTGTTTGAGGCCTGTGATGTATGAGGTATTAGGCAGAAGGAAGGGACTTGAGGGGTTATGGGGAGGAGCTTAGATGGGGGGAGGCTTGGGAAGGATCCATGCTGGGCTGGGGGTTGGGTACAATCTGAGGTGCCCACCTGGCCCTCCCAGGCCCCCTGCTGCCTTACCAGGCTGAGTTCCTGGTGCGCAGCCATGATGTGGAGGAAGTGCTGCCCTCGACACCTGCCAGCCATTTCCTCGCAGCCTTGGGGGGGCTCTGGGAGCCAGGAGAACTCCAGCTGCTCAACATCACCTCTGCCTTGGACCGTGGGGGCCGAGTCCCCCTTCCTATTGAGGGCCGCAAGGAAGGGTAGGTATGCAGCCCAGGAGGGCTTCCTGGAGGAGGGAGCAGCTTGCCTTTTGTCTAGGTGGTGGGCTTAGAACATGGGTGTCCCTAACTTCCAAGTGGGGCTTTATCCATTGTCTTGCATGCTCACCATGCCTGTCTTTACCTCCCAGCATCATGTCACTGTCCAGTTCTTCTGGTCATTCCATCTTCCTCTTGCCTTTCCAGGGCCCAAACCCTAGTTACCCTGAACTTTGCACTTCCTGGTACCCATAGGACACGAAAGATTTATCCATTAAAGGACATTGCTGAGAGGACAAGGTCCCCAGAAGACTGGGGTGCTCTGTATACTCTCACCATAATCCCAGATCTCAGGATGGCCATAACCCCGAAATCTCCAGTGCTCAGTGACACGTCCCTCAATTATCTAATAGTGGTTTCTATCTGGGCCCAGGGTATACATCAAGGTGGGCTCTGCTTCACCCTTCTCCACCTGCCTGAAGATGGTGGCATCCCCCGACAGCCACGCGCGCTGTGCCCAGGGCCAGCCTCCACTACTGTCCTGCTATGACACCTTGGCACCTCACTTCCGGGTTGACTGGTGCAATGTGTCCTTGGTGAGGAGGGCTCTGGGATTGGGGGGTGGGACATGGCCCCCATCACGGTCTCCTCCATCCTCACCTTCCCATCCCATCTCTGTTACTTCAATTATCTCTACTGTTTCCCAGTCTCTGTCTCTCTCTCTCTCTCATACACACACACACACACACACACACACACACACACACACACACACAGCCTGATGTTCTGATGTTCTACCTTCTCCCACAAGAGGGCAATAGAGTCCATAATCCAGACAAAAGGATCGCCAGCTCCTGGAACCCCAGCTGTGCCCAACTCAACAGCTCCAACAGTTACTCCCATAGAGTGGTGCCAAGCTTCTTTCTCCACCTAGGGTTTCTGTGTGACAGCTGTTTATTTGCTTTCCTCTAAGGTGTCACTTAGCAAATTATCTTGAAACATGGACTAGATAGCTCACCCCTATGTTATAAACCAAAGATGCTCCCTTTCTGCTCTTTGGGATATGGAGCTGAGGTGTCTAGGGTCACTAGAGATCCTGTTCCCAGGGCTAGGAACCCTTCCTGTGACTTGACCAATAGCACAGCCAGAAACTGGTAATCAATATTCTTGAGCACTTGCTATGGGTAAGGCATTATGCAATCCATGTGTTTTATCCTCGCAACCACCCAGGAGACAGGTACCACTATTAGCATCCTACTTTTACAGATGAGGAAATCGAGGCACCTAGAGGCAAATCATCGCAGCACAGAAGTTTTCTGAAACAGGATTCAACCCTGAGGACTGTACTCTGCCCGTTGTATGGTCCTGCCTCTCCTAGAATTTTTTCCTGGTTTCTAGACCGGTGCTTGTCCTGTTCAGTTACATGAGCTGGGAGAGGCGAGGCAGGAGGAATCCCTGCCGCTTCCTCGAGTAGAACTCCTGCTCTGTGCCCTGGGGGGTCTCTGTGTCTAGCATCCACTCCTGGATCAACCCTTGGCTTCCTGAGCAGGTGGACAAGTCAGTGCCAGAGCCTGCAGACGAGGTACCGGCCCCAGGTGATGGGATCCTGGAGCACGACCCGTTCTTCTGCCCACCCACTGAGGCCACAGCCCGAGACTTCCTGACCGACGCCCTCGTCACACTCCTGGTGCCCCTTCTGGTGGCCCTGCTGCTGACCCTGCTGCTGGCCTACGTCATGTGCTGCCGGCGGGAGGGACGGTGAGTATGGGGGCAGAGGGCAGGGAGGGCACCAAGGCTGGTGCTCACATTGTAGGCTGCTTGTGGTACATGTGCTGCCTGGGGACCCAGATCCCTCCGAGAGTGGAATCCTCAGCCAGGAAAACAGCAGGGGCCCCTTGCATGGCTGCACCTGGACGATTGTGGATAATAGCTAATCCTCACCCTTGTTTTTCCACAGGCTGAAGAGAGACCAGGCCACCTCTGAGTGAGTAGGGGAAGTCTGGGGGCTGGGTGGGAGCCCCCCTCTGGACTATTAAGCTGGACCCTCCAACCTCCATGGGCAGCAGACAAATCCCAGATAATGGGGCGACACTTGGTCTATGCGCTCCAATCCTGGGCTGGCTGGGGGCTGGGTCCCACCTATTCTGGCTTGGCTTTCTCGTTTTCTGGTCTCCATGGAAGAGTCTAATGTGGGACAGGAGAGGGGATCTAGCCAGGCTTTAGGGATCTGCTGCCACCTTCGGGCAAAGGGTTTGAGAAGCAACTTACAAGGCTTCCAGTGTGTGCACCAGCACGCACACACACACACACACACTTCACTGTGAGTCAGACATTTAGGTTGCAGGCTCTGTTCTGCAGCATAATTACTGTGACCCTTTCTGCATTCAGTTTCTTCACCTCCAAGATAATGCGATTGGACTAGCTAATACCTGGATGCTTTCTTCTCCAGCCCTTCCCAAACCCCAGGGTTTCCCCCACCCCTGGCCTTACCTTTCCTGTGTACCCCCAGACCTCTTCCTCTCCCACTCCCTTGAACCCCAAAGATTCCAGGAGGCAGGTGTGAAATAAGTTAGGCTCCTTTTATTCTCACTGCACTGAGCCTGTGGCGGGCCTGGCACCCCTGACTGCTTGCCCAACCTTCCTGGTTAACTGCGGCGGCATTTGGCCGCCCTGCGAACCCCCCTGATGGGTTGCTTGTGCCCCTGTTTGGAGCCCATGAGCAACTGGCACTGCCCAGGCTGGCGCTGCCCAGACCGGCGCTGCCCAGACAGCTGCCGCCGCTGCCACTGTCTCTTGGCCTTGAGCTTAAACTTGGAGGCATGATTCTTGCCCATGAGGAAGGAGCCTGCGGCCCCCTTGCCTGTCACCCGCTTGAGCATGCCCTTGTCCACCAGCCCCTTGAGCACTCGCTTGAAGCGCCAGGCGTTGCGGGTCATGTTATAGCCCCTGGTGGCAACAGCCTTCTTCAGGGCGGCCAGGGATACGCGTTTGCCTGCCCCCTTGTCTGCCACGAACCCCAGGATCACCTTGGATATGCTGGGCTTCCGGTGGGGGTTGGGACTGGTGCGGCGCCGAGTCTCGCTCTTGCTTGGGAGTCCAGATGAGCTGGCCTGCAGGCCTGCACCCAGGGCAGTGTTGGAGGCCAAGGGCCCAGATGGGGGTGGCAGCGAAGTGTCTTTCTGCATCTCTTCCTGGGGTGGGTGAAGGGAGCTGGGTTCAAGGACCTCCAGGATGGCGGCTGGAAATCTCTTCTGGGTTGCTTCTCGGTGGGGGAGGTGCGCCCCAGTTCCTGGTTCCCTCAGAGGCTTCCTGTAGGGCTCTGGCCCAAGCCTTGCCCTGGGTGGCCAGAAGGAGGACCAAGGATGATCACCTATGCTGGCCTTGGCAGTCTTGTGCCTGAGGTGCAGGGGGTGGTAAGGTTATCTCTGTAGTGACCTCAGGGGGACATTGTGAGGCCACCAGAATCCTGTGAGGGTCACAGTGGACCCATTGTTCCCCCTAGGTGGGGCAGATGGGAGATACCAGAGTGTGGGCATCTGACATGCCACGTAGCCTGGAAAGAAGGGCTGTGGCTGAGTGAGTCCGGCGGATGGACCCATGTGGGTCCATGTGTATACGCTCACCAGCTGATTTTAGGGTGCCCAAGACCCCAGTTTTAAACCCACCATTTTGACCCCACCATCTCAATTCATTAGGTTGAAGAACACCAAACTTTAGAATCAGTATTATACCTACATTTGTGAATTTTTATGGGGAATAAATTTCCCAGCGTGAACAGAAATGTAATTCTTTGATCTATCTAACTCAATTTAATTCCTTGATCAACTTTTTTTTAACAAAGTAATACAACAGATTTCCTTCTTTTCTGTTTTCATGTTCATTTGGTAGAATTTTTTCCCTATTGGGATCAGTGATTTTCTATGTAAGTTTTGGATTTTTCTTATTTTTTTTTTGGCCTGTGCCAAATTTGACCAATTCTATCTTCTGCCATTGAGAATATTCTCTTCTGACCAGTTACTTTCCACCATGTCCAGCTTTCCTGTGTCAGTTTTCTAGCTCTGCTGGTGTCAGGAAAATAGGCTTCCTCCAACAATTTTGAGTCAATAACCAATTTTACCATGTGTGTGTGATATTAGCCCTTGCTGGTGTGGATTTTGTGTTGATTTATTTTTACAAAATCCAATTTTCTTTTCTTTATTCATTTTTCTTTTTGCTTGTTCGAGGAAATTGAAATTATCCAAAGCAGTGAATCTGCTGTCTGTTTTTTACCTGCATCAGATTTTATTGGTCAGACATCCTCCAGCCCAATGACCCTCTCCTGCGAGCTGTGTGCCAGAGGCAGGGCTCAAGGGGCTGTGTGTGTGTATGTATGTGAATGCCTGCCTCTTCATTTTTTCTGCCCAAGTGCTGATGTGGAAAGATTGTGGGGGAGGGCACTGTGGCTCTGACTTCTGCTCCTGCTCTGGAAAACATGTCCCTGGACCATTTTTCCACCTGTGTGTGTTGCCAGAGTAATGAGACCCAGATGTGGGGTTAGCGGTGGGGAGGGGGCCCATCGACCAAGGCCTCCCCCACCCGAGGTCATTACCTGCCTGGCTGCCTCCACTTCCATACTCTTCTTGCTCCCTTCCTGTCTCAGCCTCCCTTCGCCTGGGAATGGAAAATTGTGTTTTGGACAACTCTGCTTGCCAAATTCCAGACTCAATAGCTCATTTTGACCCTCCTCTCCCCTTAAGAGGGTGGCTCCACCTCCTTCCGCTGGCCAGAAAGTGCTTGGTTCTATTCTTTCTGGGGAGGAGGGTGGCCCATTCAGCAGGAAGCTAGAATATCTTTCCTTTAGTCTTATCTCTCAGACTCCAGCCGGAGTCTTTGTCCACTACTTGAGATGAGGATATAGATGGGAATCATTTCCCCCTCCTGGATTTGATCACTAATCCAGTGGTAAGAAGGATGGCTTCCACCCTGCCTGGGGCCACCGCCCCTTTAAGAAAACCAGTTCTTATTGTCTGTCTGACCCGGCAACCGGGGAGTCTGTGAAAAGCCCATGAGTGTGGGTGGGTTCATGCCAAAGGGCTTGGAAATGTCCTTCTACTGAAGGCCAAGTTCATCAGTGGACCTACTATAATAATACCAGTGATAATAATAGCAACAGAAGACTCCCTATAATAATAGCTATCTTTGGCTGCATGCTGACCAGTAGATGTAAATGTTTTTCTTGCATTAATTCATTTAATTCATACAACAGCTTTATTACAGTTGAGGAAATGGTGGCAGAGAGGTCAAATAACTCACACAGGGTAGCACAACCAGTAAGCAGAGGAACTCACATTCAGGCCCAAAGCAAGTCCTCATGCTTAACCACTGTGCTACCCTATTTCTCAAAATGAATTAAAGATGCTTCTGGACAGCAGAAAACAAGCCCATGAGAATGTCAGATGAGGAGGCTCAGCCTTCCTAGAGGAAACTGGATCTAGAGCTCAGGAGGGACTTGCTAATGGGTGTGCCGGTCAGTTCATTCAGCCCCTCCTAGGGTTTCTGGCCCGGTGAGGGTGGAGCCTGGTTCCAGCCTCAAGGAGACAGGTCTGAAACACAGACAGGAAGTAAGACTTAGCGTCTGAGCTAAGCAATGCTGGGGGCAGTGTGGGGCAGGGTGGAAGAGGGTCAGGTTCGAGGATCCGAAACAGAAGCAGTCAAAGTCCGCCAGGAAAAGAGTTTGGGCAAAAGCTAGGAAAAGGTAGAGGAGGTAGGTTTGCCAGACTAAAATGAGGATGATGGGGAAGGGAGAGAGTATCAGAAATGGAAACTGATTGCTGGAAGGGATCCAGGGGATCACCAGAATATAAAAACCATACAGAGCCTGCAAACAGTGGCCTCTGAAAATACATGCCACTGTGGGTATCTATTAATGACTTAGTATTTCAGGCACTCACCATGTGCCAGGCACTTTTCTAAACACCCAACCTGTATTTTCTCATTTAAACTCCATAGCAATCATAGGAAGTAGGTTCTTTCATTATCCTCATTTTACAGTTGAGGAAACTGAAGCATAGAGTGGTTAAGCAACTTGCAAAGGATACGCAGGTTTGAACCCAGGATGTCTGCACTCAGAGCCTATGCCTCATTCCCTGGATACTGAGCTAGCACTGAAGAACTTCCTGTTTGTCCTCCTCCACCTATCGTGTATGTGTCTCCCTCCTGTGCCCCTAGCATCCAGATGGTCCACCATTGCACCATCCGTGGGAACACAGAGGAGCTGCGACAGATGGCATCTAGCCGAGAGGTGCCCAGGCCACTCTCTACCCTGCCTATGTTCAATGTGCGCACAGGCGAGCGGCTGCCCCCGCAAGTGGACAGCGCTCAGGTGCCCCTCATATTGGACCAGCACTGAGGGCCGGCCCAGGTGGGTCCAGCTGGGCAGGGCCAGCCTCTTTCTGGGAATAATGTGGCTTCCATCTCAAGGCTGTCACGGGGGGTTGGGGAATGGGAAGGGGCACACAGACCTGTCTGTCCCCCAGGGTAGCGGTGGGAAGGTGTTCAGCAGTGCCAGGGGTGTGGCCCCAGTGCCAAGCACTCACAGTCCGAGGGTCAGGGTGGGGAAAGTGGGAGAATTGGGGCCTGGTTCTCACGAACTCCCACTCTCTCTTCTCTTTGCTGCTCCCGTTCCAGCCCTGGCCTTGTCCTCTCTTCTCTCCCCACTCACAGAGCAGCCATGACCATGACCACATCCTTCCTCCTGACTCCAGTTCTTGGCCCTCTGGACCCCAAGCTTGGAGGGTGGCGTGGGGTGAGGGTGTCTGGGATCAGGACCCCCAGAATAAATACCTGCCGCTCTGCTCACCGATTGCTGTGCTTTCGTCTCAGAAACCTCCTTCCCAGCCCTCACTGCTTCTGATTCCCTTTCTGCCTTGTGGACGCCCTCAGAGGTAGCCTGGGGCTGCCGCCTGACCTCGGGACTCTTGGCATTTTTACATTTCTCAAATTCTCTGTAAGTAAGAGGGAAGCACCTGCATATGCAGCCTTGATATTGATCCTCACCTGAACCCAATAGTGAGGGACAATTGGATCATTATCCCCATTTAACTGACAGAGAGAGAGAGAGAGAGAGAGAGAGAGAGAGAGAGAGAGTGACTTACCCAAGGTCACAGAGCAGGCAAGTGGTAGAACTTGGATTCAGATCTGTTGTGTCCACCTCTACCCTGCCTTTTGGAGGGCTGAGAGGTTCTGGAAGCAGGAGATCTGGGCTCTTACCCATTTAGATCCCCTGGAGGGAGGCCCCTTTTTAAGTCATAACCTAGATATGGAGAGGGGGTTAGGGTGCAGGACTCTTAATGCCCTGGATCAGTGACCCCTCTCGGTGGGCTCCTCAGGGACAGGGTCGAGGTCCACAGGACACTTCATAGCCTGGAGCCCTTGAGCTAGATGTCACCACCTTAGCTTGGTCCCCATGTGAGCCCGGGAGAGCACGGCTGACCAGGAAGCAGCCGCAGCTTGTTCTTCCCAGGTGGCTGTAAGCAAAGCAGGCCAGGTCCTCTCCTGCCCTGCCACCAGAGCCACACCCAGTCTCACATCTGATGCCCCCTTGGGAGAGCAGGCCAGAGATGGCCTCAGAGGGGACCCGGTTAAAGAGGGGGAGGGAGGAGCAGGGTCTTTTGGCTCAGGGCCCTGGTCAAGGGGGCAACTCTGAGACAATCCAGACAAGGGGAAGCTCTGCCACTCTGAGGCCTCTACACCCCTTTCTGAGCTCCTCACACTAGGCCTGGGCCCCATCCACTATCCTGGACCTGATGCTCAATCACCCCTTCTCTGTGTGTGTGTGTGTGTGTGTTTATGTATGCACATGTGTGTTACATGTGTGTGCTATGTGTGTATTGTATGCATGCATGTGTATTGTATGTATGTGTATGTATTGTGTTATGTGTGTAATATATGTGTGTTGTGTGTGTTGCATGTGTGTGTGTGTTGTGTGTGTGTGCGTGTGTTATATGTGTGTGTATTATATGTGTATTGTGTCTGTGTGTGTGTGTGTGTGTGTGTGTGTGTGTGTAGGGGGCAGGTGGGGGGGACACAAGGGACTTTTCTCTCACCTGGACGCGAGAGCCCGGCCTGGGGCTGAGGGGAAGTGGAACCAGCTGAGGCAGCCCCCAGTCTAATAGTGGTGCCCCCAGGGTCACTGAGGAGGCTGAGTTTCTGAACACTGCATCCCACTTTTCAGGAATGTATAGGCAAAGGGGTCACGGGGGCCCCAAGTTGTTCCTGGACTCCCCTCCCCTTTCCCTCACTTCCCAGAATCCCCACCTTGAAAAAATATCCTGAATTCATTCACTTCTCACAGCTTCCACGATGACTTTCCTAGACCAGCTCCAGGATCTGGCTCCTTCCTGGACCCCCACAGCAGCCTCCCTGTAGCCTCCCTGCCTCCTCCCTGCCCCTTCTGTCTTACCTCCAGTACCAGTCAGGCCAGTTCTTTAAAAGGAAACGTCAAGGAGTCTCGCCCCTCTGCTGTCCACTCTCCATTGCCTTCCCGTGACAGCGAGGGGAAAACCCACGGTCTTGGCGAGGCTTAGAGACCCCATGTATGCTTCTGACCTCATCATCCTAGCTCCCCATGCTTGCCTGCTCCAGCCACACTGCCTCCTAACACACCCGTTTCAGTGCCCTAGCCCCTGCTCTTCCCTCTGTTGGGACCCCCAGTCTCCTATGTCCACAAAACTTCCCCTTAGTGCAGTCATTCTGGCCTCTGGGCAAATGGCAGGTCTCTAGAGAGGCCTTTCCCCTGCTCAGAGAGTGCTCTCCACCATAGGATCTGCCCTGTATGAGCACCTTGTTGGGGTGGGCTTTGGCCCTGGGCTAAGCTCCAGGAGGGCAAGATTCTGTGCTCCCCCAGGGACAGGGCCTGCACACAGCGGGCGCCCAGGAAAGTCGTGTGAAAGAATGTGTGAAGGGAAGCCATCAGGTCCAGGCTGCTCAGAGTTCTTGAGCAGGTTGCTCCTCCTCTCTGGGCAAAGAAGGTGAAGTGAGCAAGGCCACTGCTAGAGCTTTTACCATTATCTTGTGGTTGCCCCACTTCCCTGCTGGCCACCCCACACCCATTGGTTAGTTAATCCCAGAAGCATCCATGGAGGCAGGAAGAGGCACCAAGCCTCTTGAATATATGTGCTCAATAAACTCAAGGGCTCTTTAGGTAACAACCCCCAATCACATGGACTCTGACTTTTTCATTCGCAATTTCCTCCTTTCCCTGGGGCCCCTCATGTGGCTGAAACCCGGAGCTGCACAGAATCTGCTCAGATTGGAGGCTCTGCGCAGTCAGCCTGCGGTCTGGGATGTCCGCCCCCCACCCCTGTGAGGAGGAGGCTGCCCTCTCACCCTGGACCCATGCGCTTTTCCTGTTCCGCCCAGATGGGAGAGTCTGAGACCAGCCCCATACTTCCCTCTGCCTTGGGATCTTGGCAGTGCCTCCCTCCCAGCTCAGCTACCAGGAACACACGGGATCCTGGCTGCTGGCCGAGGAGGAAGTGGCCCAGACACGACTAGGGGGATAGCGTGACTGCGGAGGACAGCGAGCTGTGCCTGGACGCAGACGCACGCGAGCCCCACTGCCCTGGCACTCAGCACCCCTTTGCATATGCTCGGAGGGGCAAGATTCCACCTGGCAGTCACACCTCAGCCCCTACCACCAAGGACAAATAGCCGCTCCTCCCTGAGATTCTATCTCACTCCCTCCCTCATCTCCTCTAGCTCCATACTGCCCACAGGACCCCGTGTCTCCACCTTCACCCCAAACACAGCTCTCACATATGACCTGACTCTAGACAGTTCCTCACCACCTCTCAAACTGGTTAGAGGACCCTCTGCCAGCCAGGACCCAGGAACCCCTAAGCTGGCCTCAGTCCCTGCATGCACACTTCGTCCTTATTCTGGAGACATGTTCATATCTACACATGCACGCTCACACCTACACCCATTTTATAGCGACTCCCTTGGTGTATCTGCTGGGATTTGGAGCCAGAGTGAGCAGGGTTCCCATCACGGCTCAGTTTACTCACAGACATTAATTATAACTGTCCTGGGGGCTTTTGTGAGAGTTTGGGAGAACTAGGCAAGTGCCTGGCATCTGGCAGCTCCCAAGAATGAAAACTTTATTACATACAAGTACTCCCATGATCACCCCAGAACCAGAGGTCTATGAGGTCTCCTTGTCCCCTAAGGTCTGAAATGGCTCAATTTCCATTCTACGAAGAGTTCAAGCCGTGAATTGGGGAGGAGCCTGAAACTCGCCTGCTCCTAGGCTCTGGCCTGCTGTCTGGTCCAATCCTGCGCTGTCTGCTCAGGCAGCTGCTGGCCACCTGTGGCCACCGAACACTTGAAATGTGGCTTCCAAATGGAGATGTGCTGCAGATGGACTCATGAAATGATAACATTTGGGGATATTCTGGGTTAAATAAAGTATCTTATTAAAATTAACATTCCCTGTTTCTTTTTATATGTTTAACACGGCTGCTAGAAAATGAAAAATTACACGTGTGGCTCACTTTTTGCTTGTATTGGGCAGTGCTGCTTTCACGGTCCTACCTGTATCTCAAGTCCAGATTGACCCAAACCCAAACTGGAACTCAGCCGCTTTCCAGAACACCTGCTCCCTCCAGGCCTCTGCGTGCATCAGTTTTCAGTTTTCGGAAGCCTTGAGGAGAGGGAGCGGTTTGCCTCCCAGCAGTGAAGTCACCTAGCATTGAATATGTGGTGGCGTTCTTGTTCTAAAACGTGCTCTGGTCTCCACCCTAACCCATCTTCCTTTCCTCCACTGCTGTCTTATGCAGAGAAAACCCCAGTCTCTCCATCACCCATGTGCACCGGACTCACCTCCCTCCAGGCTTTGCCATGCACGTCCTGCAAGCACTGGATTCTCCGTGAGTGTAAGGGCCTGATCATCCTCTGAGACAAAAGCCTTCCTTCTTCCAGGGTTCTGCCTCCTGGTCCACAGACATCTCTCAGCCCTCACACCTGGAAGGGGATGCAGAGACAGCTGCTCACCCCCACTAAAGCCTCAGCAGCCCTGGACTTCAGGATGGTGGCCTCCCTGCCCCCAGTTTCTCTTCATTTCCCCCACACCCCTCCCTGCTCTATCATCTCCCTTTCATCCTCATCACACAGACAAACTCTCCTATGCCCTCTGTCATGTCTGTGCACACATGCCCCAGGTATGCAGACCCCACCCCCACTGTCCCTCACACACCCACACTGGTGCAGGATCCCTTAGAACATCGAAGCATTTTGTCCTAGGTGAGTGGGTACTTTCTCATTCACCCAGGGATGACTGTGGAAACCCACCTCACTCCCTCTCCTCCTGTGGGTGGTCTTGCTTTCAGAGCCCCATGCTTACTCCAGCAGCCCCGCGATCAGCTCCATGTGGCCCTGTGGGTGCCTGGCCTGAGGCTCCCATGCTCAGCCGGGAAGCCCTTCTCAACATCACCCAGCTCTGTCTCAGAGGCACCTGGGGAGCTGAGAGTTAAAGAGCCAGGAAAAAAAGAGGGGAAATCCGCCATGTTTCAGTTATAGAAAGTCCTGCCAGGAGATGGGTTCGAGCCACGAAAAGGTCCAAGGATTCTGAGAGAAAGCAAAAAAGTGAAAAATCCAAAGGTAGCCTCCTCTCTTTCTAGAATCTTCGGTCTAGATTTGATTGAAAAATCAGTTGCAGGAACATGACCCATTCCCTCACCGAAAATCAAAAGCGAGTCCATGGAGCAGCAGGCAGAAAGGGCCGCGGTGCCTCCACGCGTGCGGGCAGGTTTCGGGGAGCAGCTCTGAACAGCTGTATTTAGGCAGCTGTGATGTCAGCAGTGAGGAGGGCTTGAATTTGGAATGTAGTACAATGGCCCCTTTGTCCCCCTCCCCGCCCGTCCGGCGCGCACACTGGAACCTCAGTCTGGCTCCAACGCACGTGACACAGGCAGGACTGCACAGCGGGGCTCTGTCACCACCACAGCCCTGACCAGCGCGGGTGTCACCTCGCATGCCCTCATGCATGCATGTGCACAGTGCAAGCACACACACGTGCCCACGTGTAGATCCGCGAACGTGTAACGAGAGGCATAGTCCCCCCGCTTTGTGTAGAACTGTGCTGCTCGGCTCAGTAGCCACCAGCCACAGGTAGCTATTAAAGTTAATCACAATAAACGGAAAAGGGAGTACTTTGGCAGCGCGTCCTCAGGTCAAGCGCTCCACAGCCACAGCGGCTAGCGGCTCCCACACTGGTAGACAGAGAACGTGTTTCTCACTGCAGCAAGCCCAGGCCTAGAACCTCTCCCTGCTGGCTGCTCACACGTGGATCTGTATGTGCTCTCCCTCTCACACTTGCTCACTCTTATTGGCAGTGATGCTCACACGCCACACGCTCTCCTAAAAAGGCCGCCTCTCGCGCTCACCTTCTCTTTCTTTAGTCTCCTCGGCATCTAGGCCCGGACCTGCGCCCAGCATTGCGGTGCCTGGCCTCCAGCCTGCCTTGGCCAGCTCCCCTTGACCTGGAGAGAATAACAGGGTTAGAACATGACAGCATGACAGTGGCAGCAAGTCTGGTCTGAGGCTGAGCTGAATTCTGCAGACATGGAGAGCTTTGGAAACTCCAGTCAAACTCAGCTTGAGTTGGGCAGGAGAGTGAGGGGACAATGAGACATTTGAAATATAAGTAAGATCTAGAAGTTAAGAAGCATGGTGCAATTGCTGGTGTGACAAGTGTCACACAAGTAGGAGAGGAGACAGTGAGAAGGAACACGTGAGTAGTGATCAGGTAAAGCCTTGGATGCCAGGCTTGGGTAGATTCTGGATCCCTTGTGGGGGCAGATGGAGATGGCACCAAGATGGCCAAGGGCGCCAAGGAGCAGGAGGTCCAGGTGGATGGGTTGCTGAGGCTGGTGTCAGGTCTGCATCACTAATCATTCACTGGATTGATCAGAGGATCATCGGGTAACTTGAGATAATTTGCATATTGAATAAACCTTTGTTCAAAGCCACAATCTTTTGTCCTCTTTAAGCTAATTCCAGTACTCCACTACCCTGAAGGTGAGAGAAGTGCTAATGATGAATTATTAAAGGCCATAGTTAGCCGCCATGAATATTTAATGACAGCCAAGGCAGACAATGGACTCTGAGGACTTGTCCACCTCTCTGTGGACCCGAAGGAGGGATGCGGGCCTTTCCTGCCCAAAGGTTTATGCCCTAAGACCTTGCAGGGGGCAGGGGTAGGGAGGTTTGCGGGACAGGGTCGCTGTCAACGTCTCCCCATCTCTAGGTCTCTGGTGCCTGGTCTGCGTCAGAGCTCTGACTCCCTGGATCTGCTGTGTCCCCACAGACTGCACACTGCTGTCCCTCTTCCCTGAGATTGGGGATCTGGCCAGTCACCTTCCCGGTGGGGGCCTCAGGCTCTCAGGCCAGCAGGAGGGGCAGGCAGAGGGTGAGGAAAGGGGAAGGAGGGGAGAAGAAGGTGGAAGAGGAAGCAAGAATTTTTAAAAATGAGAAAGAACGAACAGGAGGCAGGAGCTGGTCAAAGTGAACTCCCCAGGCCACGGGCCAAGTTCTGGGGACTTAGAAGACTAAGAGAGATCTAGGACATGCCCAGCTGGTCAGGAAGGCCTATTGCCTTCTGGTAGCACCGGGAAAGGACCTGGGCTGCAGCTCTCCAAGGCCCAGGGCTCTCCCCTTTCCTCCTGGGGAACCCAGAAGAAGGAGCAGCAGGCACTCCTTCCTTTAGGTGTCCTCTGGCCCTCAGGGCAGCCTCAACAACCCTTTCTCATTCAGTACTGCAGGATGCTCCCTTGGAGGAGCTCAGAGAGAGCAAGGAGGGAGAAGAGGCCAGATGGCTCTCTGCCTTTGCCCAGGGAGACTCCCAGTTTCTCCTCTCTGCCCCACCTCCCTCCCTCAACCTGGGCCTCCCAGAGCTCACCCCCCGCTGAGGAAGCGCCACCAAAGACCCCAACCCTGCAGGATGCCCCCAGCAATGGAAGGGGGCACAAAGAGTTAATGACACTGATGAGCATGGGCATGGGCCTGAGGCTTGGTCAGAGCAGGGCTGCATGGAAGTGTGTGTGTGTGTGGCTGCACAGAAGGGTTGCCTGTCTGGCATCGGAAGGGACAAGAGGGTATGGGAGACACACAAGGAAGACAGCAGGAGAAAACAGAAAGGGTATAGGCCTAGGAAAGGCAAGAGGGAGGGAGGGGGGCCGTCTAGGGTGCTAGAGGAGGAGGGGCAGGGAAGGGACAGACACAAAGAAGAGCTTACCTCCCTCCCCGCCCCGCCCCCGGGTCTCCCCTCCACCAACTCCTAGGAAGGAAATCAGGAGGCCACTGCAGATAGGTTTGGGTCATTTCCACATGCTTTATTCCAGCAATCAAAATAATTAAAAACATCTCAAATTATTATACACATACAAAATAGGTACAGAGTCTCTTGCTTCCTCCCACCCCTAGGGGGAAAAACTGCTTTGTGCTTTGGGAAATTGTGCTCTGAAACCCAGTGAGAGAGGATGCAGGACTGAGAGACAGGCCAGGAGAATGGGATGCAGCTCAAGAGGGGGAGAGGGTTTCAGAGGAGGGAGAGGTGGGGAGAGAGAGGCAAGAGGCCTGAGGAGGTGAGAGGCGCCCAGAGGGATGAAGAGAGGGTGGAGAGTGAGTGACACTGAGGCGGCACTCTCTCCCACTTTAAATAGCACCTTTAGAAAATTCACATGAGTCCCCATCCACAAGGAAAAAAAAAAAAAAACAAAGAATAAAAAAAGACTTTGAACAAAAAGGAACATTTGCTGGCCTGAGGGGGGGGTGCGTTTCCACTTCCATAGCACCAGTGATTCCCTCCCCACCCCACCCCATCACAGAGATGTAGCACCTTTGATATAAAATGAGGACCCCCTTCCACCCTGCGCCCATCCCGCCCCCACGCAGTTGCCTCGGTGACAAAGACAAGAACGAGGTAGTCTTTCAGCAATACAATTACACAAGGAACAGAGCAGTCTCTCCCACCCAGCCAGGTTGCACGGGGGGAATGTCACGTTTCCCAAATCCGATGTTTCTGCTCTGTCTTGGCCCCTCCTGACTTTCCTCCAAACCCGGTGTTGAAGGGCCAGTGGTACCCCTGGCGTGCTCCCCTCAAAAAACAAAGAGGGAATGTTGCCGGGGCCACAGGGATGCCAGATGGTAAAGCTTCTTTGGCAGTCTGAGGACTCCAGGTCCCCCAGGGTTTGGGGGTTCTGGGTGAAGGGAGTGGGCTGGGAGTGTGGGGGCCACTTGGGTGTTTCAGCATTGCCTTTGGTTGCTGGGCAGACAATGCTTTGTTTCCTGTGTCTTTTGGGGAGACTTAGATTTGGGGATCAGTGGTGGGGAGGCCCTAAGAAGGCATGGAGAAAGGAGCAGAAAGGGCAGTGCTGGGGTGTCATAAGCCCAACGGGCAGAAAAGGACTTACCCCCACGTGGGTCTTCAAGCAAGTGGACCAAGCTTCCTTTTTTTAAAAAGTTATTTATTTATTCTTTTTTTTTTTGGTAAGGTTGAATGCACTTTTGGTTTTTGGTCATGTTCAGTTGGTCAAAGATAAAAACTAGGTTTGAGAGATGAATGCAAAGGAAAAAAATATTTTCCAAAGTCCATGTGAAATTGTCTCCCATTTTTTGGCTTTTTGGGGGTTTCAGTTTGGGTTGTTTGTCTGTTTCCAGAGTCAGGGGCAAGTGGGTTGGGTGGGAGGGAGCCAGGTTGGGGTGGAAGGAGTTTACAGGAAGCAGACAGGGCCAACGTCGAAGCCGAATTCCTGGTCTGGGGCGCCAACGTCCAAGGGGGCCACATCGATGATGGGCAAGCGGGAGGTCTTGGTGGTTTTGTATTCGATCACTGTCTTGCCCCAGGCTCCGGTGTGACTCTGGGGTGAAGGGGAGACAACGGGAGAGGGGCGTCACCACGTGGCAGTGAGGGACTGGGAAACTGGGCCTGCCGGGAAAACCAAAGACCAGCAGAGGGGCCCCGCTGGACTCACCGTGCAGCCATCGTAGGTGACGCTGTAGGTGAAGCGGCTGTTGCCCTCGGCCCGGATCTCGATCTCGTTGGAGCCCTGGAGGAGCAGGGCCTTCTTGAGGTTGCCAGTCTGTTGGTCCATGTAGGCCACGCTGTTCTTGCAGTGGTAGGTGATGTTCTGGGAGGCCTCGGTGGACATCAGGCGCAGGAAAGTCAGCTGGATGGCCACATCGGCAGGATCGGAGCCCTGGCCGCCGTACTCGAACTGTGGGGATGGCAGAGCGAGGAGTGAATGGCTGTGTATGAGCCCCCAGTCCTGGCCTCCCTCCCCAGACTCCTCTGAGGGCATCCCAGAGAACCCCACTTCCAGAGGTGGCATCCCCTGCGCCCCCAGGCACCCTATGTCTGAGCCAGTATCAAGGTCCCGTCTTCTGTCTCCCAGTCCATCACACTCAGCAGAGGTCTGGCCCACCCAGGACCTACCCTCAGGCCCTTCTGAGCCCTGGGCCAACCCATCTCTGTTAAGACTGGCTACAAGGTCCTGCTCACGCACCTGGAATCCGCCGGTCATGCTCTCGCCATACCAGACGTGCCTCTTGTCCTTGGGGTTCTTGCTGATGTACCAGTTCTTCTGGGCCACGCTGGGCTGAGTGGGGTACACACAGGTCTCACCAGTCTCCATGTTGCAGAAGACCTTAATGGCATCCAGGTTGCAGCCTTGGTTGGGGTCAATCCAGTATTCTCCTGGGTGGGGCAAGGTAAGATGGCATCAGGGGATGTATGGGATGATGGCCCCTCAGGGCTCAGCCCCATCACGGCAGGAGCGGGAAGCACAGTTGGGCCGGCCCTCACCGCTCTTCCAGTCAGAGTGGCACATCTTGAGGTCACGGCAGGTGCGGGCGGGGTTCTTGCGGCTGCCTTCAGGGCTTCGGATGTTCTCGATCTGCTGGCTCAGGCTCTTGAGGGTGGTGTCCACCTCGAGGTCACGGTCACGGACCACATTGGCATCATCAGCCCGGTAGTAGCGGCCACCATCGTGAGCCTTCTCTTGAGGTGGCTGGGGCAGGAAGCCTAAGTCGTAGCCGCCGCTGGGAGGACCAGGGGGACCAGGGGGTCCAGGAGGGCCAGGAGGACCCTGTGCAGAGAGGGAGGAAAGCAGTGATTACTAGGGCTCAGTGCTTTCAGGGCTGGGGACCATGGGCAGGAAGGGAGGACAGTGATGATTACTGGGGCTTGGTGCTATCAGGGCTGGGGGGCCATGGGTAGAGAAGGAGGAGAGTGGTGATTACTGGAGGCTCGGTGCTTTCAGGGCTGGGGGGCCATGGGCAGAGAGGGAGGAGAGCGGTGATTACTGGGGCTTGGTGCTTTCAGGGCTGGGGGGCCATGGGCAGACAGGGTTGGGGAACTTACAGCAGGACCAGCATCACCAGTGCGACCTCGAGGCCCAGGGGGACCGATGGGGCCTGGGAGACCGTTGAGTCCATCTTTGCCAGGAGTACCAGCAGAGCCAGGGGGACCCTGCAGGGAGGAAGCTGGTTGGAGAAAGCCTTCCGGAAAGCAGGGGCCCACCCCAGCTCTGGTAGAGAAGCCCATCTCCCACTTTGTTTAGCTCAGACTCCCCAGCCTTATTACGGCTTATTCCCACGGAAACTTTGTGGGAGGAAGGAGTGGGGAGGGAGAGGCCAAAGGCCGCATAAGGTTGTCCACAGACCCCATTCCTCTCTTTCATCCCCTGCTCCAGACCCTTCTCCAGAGAGGTAAAGGACCCAGGAAGAGCAGACAAACAGAAGATGACTCACGCGGGGACCAGCAGGACCAGAGGCTCCAGAAGGACCTTGCTCACCAGGAGAGCCCTGCAGGAGAGATGGGAAGGCAGTTCAGGCCAAGTGTAGGTCAGATGCGGCCAGCAACATCCCACTGCCACCAACTGAGTCGTTCTGGAAGTCTAGCCCCAGGGTGTCCATAGGCTGAGACCCCTCCCACGATCCCTCTTTGTGCACTCTTCACCCTCCTAGAAGCTACTTGGAAATGCCCACTGATCTTCAGACCCCAGTCCCCACTAGCGAGGAGAAGGACTGTCCAAAAAGGGAAACTAAGGTAAAGTGTCCTTTCCATCACACAGCAAGGCTTGGGGAGATGATGAAAGAAGACGCAATGTCAGCTAGGGGCTGGGGGGGGTGCTGGGCATACTCACGGGAGGGCCAGGGGGACCCTGGAGACCAGAGAAGCCACGGTGACCCTTAATGCCTCTGTCACCCTGTTCGCCTGTTTCACCCTTGTCACCACGGGGGCCTTGGGGTCCCTAGAAGAGAGATGAGGACAGGCCGTCAGGTGAAAGTTTTGTTAGCACTGAGCAGGGTACCGTCCCCATCTGGACAAGGGTTCTGAGGATGATGTGAGGGCCAGAGCAGGGCACTTACAGCGGGGCCACGGGCACCAACGGGGCCAATGGGACCAGCAGGACCAGCAGGACCCTAGGGAGAGCAGAGAGAGCATCAGACCTTGGTCGGAGGAGCCCGGCTCAGGGCTGGGACAGCCTGAGCTGCAGGTGAGACCTCCCCTTGGCCAAATCCCTTCACATCTGTTCCTACCATATCTATCCCTCCTGACCCCAGGTGAATCTTCAAGCAGATTTAGGTTTTGGGTAAGCTGGGGCGAGCACCTGGGAACAAACCCCCTTCCTTGGGGGAAACAGGGTACGGGATGGGGAGGGGCCTTGAGGCTGAGCTGTGGCTCACTTTTTTTTTTTATCTAATAAACATTCCAAACTAAGTTTGGAGCAGAGAAAAGTTTATGGCAGGGCCAAGCAAAGAGAATGGTGGGGGGTTCAGGTTCAAAAAACCCAAACTCCTATGGCTCCGTTTTTCCAGGGAGGCCAAGGGCCAGACATCTTGCAGGTCCTCCCCTCTTCCCCTGCCAAGGTGAAGTCAAGTGTCCACCTGCAGATCCCCCAGCAGGTCTGGAGAGCCCCTGGCCTGAGCAGAAGCAGCAAGCCAGGCCCAGCTACTTACAGTCTCACCACGATCACCGCTCTTGCCAGCAGGTCCGACAGGGCCGGGGGCACCGGGAGCGCCAGGAGCACCAGGAGGTCCAGCAGGGCCGGTCTCACCACGGTCACCCTGAGAGGAGGAGGGAAATCCGGTGAGCCCCAGCCGAAGAGGCCCAGTGGCAGCGGCTGTGGGGCTGTGGTCCTGGGTGCAGCCGTCTTACCTTGGGGCCAGGAGAACCATCTCGTCCGGGGGATCCTTCAGCACCAGGTGCTCCCTGCGGGGGGCGGGGAGGTGAACATCAGCCAAGGAAAGGGAGCCTCAGGCCAAGGCCCAAATGGCCACAGTGAGGGCACTGGAGTGGGGCTGGCAACCACGTACCTCACGTCCAGACTCGCCAGGGGGTCCAGCCAATCCAGGGGGGCCCATGGGACCAGGGGGGCCACGTTCACCACTTGCTCCAGAAGGACCTTGTTTGCCGGGTTCACCCTAAGGGAGAAGAGAGAGTCAGGCCAGAGATGGGGTGGGAGAGGGTCCTATGGTCCCTGACATTTGTCCTTGCTGACCCTACCACCCCAATCCTGCACCCTCCAAATCCTGCAATGGTCCTGCCCCAAGGTGAGAAGGCACTCACAGAGGGGCCAGGAAGACCAGGGAAGCCTCTTTCTCCTCTCTGACCGGGCAGGCCGACCACACCACGTTGTCCAGCAATACCCTGAGGTCCAGGAGTGCCAGGAGCGCCCTGTGGGGAGGGGGGCAGACAGGAGTGAGATGACTCCCAATGGCCAGGGACGACGCCCCCAACTCTGGGCCCCTCTGGAGGGGGTACTTACAGCAGGTCCATCAGCACCAGGGGCTCCTTTCTCACCAGCGGGGCCAGGGGGACCAGGGGGACCGACTTCACCGGGACGCCCAGCGGGGCCAGTCTCACCACGGGGGCCTTTGCTGCCTTCTTTGCCAGCAGGGCCAGGAGGGCCAGGGGGTCCAGCATTTCCCTGGACGGGGAGAATTGGGGCTGTCAGAGTCCAGAAGATTCTGGAGCATTCCTGAGGCCTCAGCCAGGCCCACCATACTCTTGACAGCCTGTGTCCCACACCCTCCCAGGCCAGTGGAATCTTCACCACGGACACTTACAGAGGGGCCAGGGGGACCGACTCGGCCAGCAGCACCTGGGAAACCAGTAGCACCCTGGAGAAAAGGACAAAGAAGTGATCAGAGGGAGAAGAGCCCCTCACCTGGCCCAGTTGCCCCACCTCCAAATGCTGCCTGGGGGGAGCTTCAGTGGAGAGGCAGAGTGGGTACTCACAGGGGGACCAGCGCTGCCACGAGCACCTTTAGGTCCGGGAGCACCAACGTTACCCTGCAGGAGAACACAGAGGCATCAAGACCGGGCCGATCCTGGGTCCAGCCTGCTGGCAGCTTGCGCCTAAACAGTGAGATACTCACAATGGGGCCAGGGGGTCCAGCAGGTCCAGCAGGGCCAGGAGGACCAGCGTCACCTTTAGCACCAGCATCACCAGGTTCGCCTTTAGCACCAGGTTGGCCATCAGCACCCTGGGGGAGGAGGGAGCGTGGTGGGTGGAAGAGAGGTCTGTGCTCACCCAGGAAGTCAGCCTAGGGGGCCCCGGAACTCCAGGCAGGATTCAATGGGAGACAAACCACCTCTAAACCCGAAAAACACCTCTGTCCTCATCGAATCACCCAAGGCCCCAGGTCCTAGTCGGGGATGGAAGATAAATGGAATCTTGGTACTCACAGGGGGGCCAGCGAAGCCAGCAGGGCCGGGGGGACCAGGCTCACCACGGTCACCCTAGAAGAAAAGGAGGCAAATGGAGAGAGGCCCTGATTTGGGGGAAGGCAGGTGGGGATGGACAGGGGGGTGGGGAGGAGGGCCTGAGGAGCACTGCCCAGGGACCAGAGCAAGTGGCAGCTAAGGTGGAGAAGGGACAAAAAGAGGGCTGGGGGCAGTATGGAGAGAAGGGCCAAGTACGGGGCCTTAACCAGGTCTTCTGTACTTACGGGGGCGCCACGAGCTCCGGTGGGACCAGCTGGGCCGCTAGGACCAGTTTCACCCTGAAAGGAAGGGACAAGAAGCTCGGGATCAGGATGTCACGCTGAATACTCCTGCCAGATGACCCCAGCAGAGTCCTCCTCCCTCCTGGTCCCACCATCACTGGGTCGCCAGGTTGGAGTGGCAGGAGCTGACTCCCCTGCAGAGCCGTGCCCAGGCTCACAAGGGAAGCTGTGTGTTAGGGAAGAAGGTGAGAAGGGGGCCATCTCACCTTGTCACCAGGGGCGCCAGCGGGGCCAGGAGGACCGATGGGACCAGTCAGACCACGGACGCCATCTTTGCCAGGAGCACCATCAGCACCTTTGGGACCAGCATCCCCCTAAAGACACAGGAAAACCTAAGACTTCTGGCGTGGGCCAAGGAGGTGAACTTCAGCACCCTGCTTGTGTCTGGGACCCCTCCCCAGCTTATGTTTGCCCTGCCCCACAAGAGCAAAGAACACAAGATCTTTCAGGGGTAAGATGCCTGTGTGGGGATTCCAGGGAAAGACCTGGGTTCCATCCCTGGGTTAGAAAGATCCCCTGGAGAAGGAAACAGCAACCCACTCCAATATTCTTGCCTGGGAAATCCCATGGATAGAGGAGCCTGGTGAGCTACAGTCCAGGGGTTGGAAAGAGTCAGACACAGCTGAGCTGGAAAGAAGCTCCCAAATAAGGGATCCCTCTTCTAAGAGGCACCCACTACTGCTTGTCGCCATGGTAACACATGGGCAGGGAAGGGCCTGAACTACAGGTAGATGATAGTTAAGAGGCCAGAGAAGAAGGAGGATTAAGAAGAAGAGGAAAACACCCCAGGGAGCAGAAAGAAAGATGCTGAGGGATTCAAAGCAGAGAGAGATGGGAACTACACACGGCTTGAGGGAGGGGGAGTTCAACTTACTCTGTCACCCTTAGGGCCTGGAAGACCAGCTGCACCTCGTTCACCAGGCATTCCTTGAAGGCCAGGGGCACCCTGGCTCCCGGGGGCTCCAGGAGCACCAGCATCACCCTATGTGACAACCAGGAAGACTGGAGTGAGACTTGGGATCTCAGAACTAGGTCTAGGTCACAACTCTGAGCCTCCTCTTAATTCCTCCCAGGCTTGGTCCTGAGGCCAAAGACAGGCACTAGCTAAGAGAAAGGACTCACAGCCCAGAACTTCAGGCTGCACACGGACCCTACCCTGGTCTTATCCCTCCACCCCTCCCCAGCATCTAGCTGGCTCTGGTCCCAGCCAGGCGGCCCCCACCACGGGAAGGGTGAGACCTGGTCCCCGTGCTGCCCTTACCTTAGCGCCATCGTTGCCAGGAGCACCATTGGCCCCACGGGGACCTGCAGGACCGGGAGGCCCTTGCACACCACGCTCGCCAGGGAAACCTCTCTCGCCCTGGAAGGGAAGGACAAGGGTGAGTGACGGTGGCTCCAGAAACAGGCCCAAGTGAAGGGCATCTCTGTGATGTGGGAAGAGGCTCTACTTACTCTTGCTCCGGAGGGGCCGGGGGCACCAAGGTCTCCAGGAACACCCTGAGGGGGACGGAGGGAGAGACAGTGAGCAAAACCCACCTTGGCCCTCCCCACTAGAAAACATTCTTGCCCACCTGGGAGCTAGCCCTTCGGGTCTGTGATTAGAGACCAACCCCTTCTGAGCACTGAACTGGGGTTATCCTTCCTCAGGATGTGTCACCTTCCCTGACCTTGAGGTTGAGGGAAAGCCAGAGTATTCCAGGAGCTCTAAAAAGAAGTCATCCAGACCCGCAGCCAGGCAGCTCCTTCCAGATCCTAGCATGCAGGGGCGTAGCTCTGTGCTCCCCTCTGAGCAGCGCCCTTCATGATGGGAAGCCCTTCCTCAAGTCTAACCTTGATCCCTCTAGCCGATGGCTGTGTGCTTAGCTAGGAGGGCTGAATGGTCTGTATTTCCTGCACTCCCCATCTCTTCAGCCAGCTGGTATACCTTACCTGTTCACCAGGTTTGCCTGCTTCACCAGGAGGACCAGCAGGGCCAGGGAGACCCTGTAGGTGGGAAATAGGGGAGGGAAGAATGGGCTTAGAATCTGGAAGAAGTGCTCCTCACACCCCTCTCCCAATACCCTGACAGCGTGAGACCTCACCTGGAATCCGGGGGAGCCGGCAGGGCCTTGTTCACCTCTCTCACCAGCGGGGCCCTGCATGGAGGGGATGCTGTGGTCATGGGAAGGCCCAGGAGAAGGGCGCAGGGGGCTGTTTCCCCTTTCCTGCCCCACAGAACCCCCTCCCTAGGCCTCCCTGTCAGGGACACTCACAGCAGGTCCTGGGGGCCCCTGGGCTCCAGCTTCTCCATCTTTGCCAGCGGGACCCTGGGGAGAGAGTAGAAAAGGGGTTAGGGTGGTGAGGTGGGTGGGCAGCTGGGAAGACAGCACAGGTAAGGGGCCTGGAGCTGGGGGTCCTGATGCCCGAGGGATGGGCTGGAGGCTCTGTATCCCTTCTGCAGGATATAGGGATGGGACATGGGCAGGAAAGGGACAGGGACCCAAAGGAGATACTTACAACAGCGCCAGGGGGTCCGGGAACACCTCGTTCTCCAGCTTTGCCAGGCTCTCCCTGGGGAAAGACAGGTAGGGTTGAGGGAGTGGAACGGGCAACCAGGCCTCCTGGGTCCCTCCTGTTTACTTTGAGTGGAATTTTTAAGGAGCTTTCTCATCTATCAGCTCTGGCCCCTGAGGAAGGCCTATGCTGGCTTTGACTGCTCCATCTTTTGGCCTCTCCCTGAGCCCTCTCCTCCCAGATGACCTGCCCCTCAGGCTCCTCTCTCACTCTCTTCCCCTTCTTCTCCCCATCGTATGCCTTTGGAGACCTGAGCTGCAAAGGGCTTTCATTCCTCTGAAATCTCCTTTTGAGCCTCAAAGAACTCACCAAGATTTGGGGATGACTATCATGTAAAAGGCCCATCCTATCCCCCAGTGTATGTGGGGTGGGACGTGGGGTAGGCAACAATACTTATTTCCAGGGATAGAGCAAAGGTAGTGAAGCCAAGGAGAGGTCTCCCATTTCATGGAATAGGGAAACTGAGGCCCAGAGGGGGGCAGTAAGTGGCCCGAGGCCACATAGCAAGTCAGCGGCAGGGCTGGGCCCAGACCCTGGACTCTTCCTCCCACGCCCACGCTCGCCCCAAGTGCGTATGTCCTTGTGGCACACCTCCCTGAATACTTACAGCAGCACCTTTAGGTCCAGGGAAACCCATCACGCCAGCCTGACCACGGGCACCGGGAGGGCCTGGGGGTCCAGGGCGGCCATCTTGACCGGCAGGACCCTGGGGATGGAAGGTACGTGAGCATAGGTGAGGACAGAGGGTGAGAGGCCAGGAGGCTGGCAGGGGCCTGGAGGAGCGGTACTTACAGGGGGGCCAGTTTTGCCATCAGGACCAGGGCTGCCAGGGCTTCCAGTCAGACCCTACGGGGGAGGCAGAGAGATGTGAGCGGAGTGGAGGATGCAGGTGGTGGGAGAGGGGGAGGAGGAAGGTGTAGGCTGGGTGGAGGACATTCCAGAAGGCAGATCTGTGGTCCTGCTCCAGAGCCCACATAGAATGGGCAGGGTCCAGGGCCAAGCTGGGCAGAGTGCTGGAGCCTCACCTTGGCACCGGGCAGACCAGCTTCACCGGGGCGGCCAGCTTCACCAGGAGAACCTTTGGGGCCAGCAGGGCCAGGAGAACCACGTTCACCAGCAGGACCCTGGTTGGGGAAGCCACAGCAACAATTAGGGCCTCAAGTCTGGGCCGGCATCTTCCTCCTCCTGGGCCATGGGGGTGGGTGCCGTAAGGGGCACTAGTGGTGGTGGGAAGGTCAAGATGAGCTGAATGTGATGAGATCGGCAGCCCCAGTGTGGGCACTAATGAACTGCATGATGGGGGTGGGAGAGGGCTGACTACATCCGGGAGAGGAAGCTGATGTCCAGGGAGCGGCAGGGTCAGCCTCCCAGTCGTGATGAGAGGTTACCTTGGGACCAGCAACACCATCGGCACCGGGGAAACCGCGGCTACCAGGTCCACCCTGTGGGAGGAGAGGTCAGTGAGCTCAGACACGTGGGCACCGGGTCAGCACCGGGGTGAAGAAGGGGGCACTTACACGCTCGCCAGGGGGTCCAGGCAGGCCAGCAGGTCCGGGTTCACCTCGGGCTCCTCGCTTTCCTTCTTCCCCAGCGGGGCCAGGGGGGCCTTGAATACCAGTGGGACCCTGGCGAGGGCAGAGAGAAGGGGGTAGCCTGCAGTGAGGGGCTGCCCTGGTGCCAGTTCCAGAGTTGGCTTGAGGCTGGGTCTCCAGCACCTGGGGTTCCCTCTCCTCCCTGGACCACCCCCAAGGGGCTTCCGGGGTAGACGGACAGAGCTGCGAAAGGACTTACAGGTTCTCCCTTGGCGCCAGTGTCTCCTTTGCTTCCAGGAGCACCAGGTTCACCCTGAGTAAGGGGGAGAAGCAGATGAGTGGAGAATGGGTACAGTGCTCAGCTGGCCTGGCCCATCATGCTTCCCAGACAAGGACCTCAGATCCAACACAGGAGGTGGGACAGAAGAGAGCAGTGGTACTTACGCTGTTACCCTTGGGACCAGGGGGGCCGCTGGGGCCCTGGGGTCCAGAGGGGCCTCGGGCACCAGGGAAGCCAGGAGCACCAGCAATACCAGGAGCGCCCTGAGGGAAGCAGAACAAGTTGAGCCCAGGAGTGGAGGGCACAGGGCGGGTGGAAGGTGGGTACCAGGGGTGGCTGTGAAACCTGCAGGATACTTACATTGGCACCTTTACCACCAGGCTGTCCATCAGCACCAGGATTGCCCTGTGACACAGAGGGAGGTGGGTGAGTGAAAGGCAAGGACTGAGTTAGGGAGGAGCCTGGGAGCACTGAGGAAGTGATACTTACAGCAGGGCCAGCAGCACCAGCAGGGCCAGGGGGGCCAGGCTCACCACGTACACCCTGGGGACCTTCAGAACCTCGGGGTCCTTGGGGACCAGCTTCACCCTGAATTGGGAGAAAGGATATGCCAGAAGTCATCCTGGGAATCCAACCTCACCTCCAGATGGCAAGGGGTGAAGGGCCAGGGCAAGAGACCAAGAGTCATGACTCTAAGGTCAGAGAAGAGACCCCCCCCCCCCCCAAGACAAAGATGCTGGGTCTAGGCTTTGCTCTTGATTCCGAGTCCTTCAGGTTTTGGGAGCAAAGAGATGCCCACCCCTTGGCCCATGGGAGCTCTGCCCGTTGGAGGGCAGGGGTCTCACCTTAGCACCCACAGCACCAGGGAAACCAGGAGGACCAGCGGGGCCAGTGGGACCCTGTGAATAAAAGGGCAATGTTAGCAAGAAGGAAGATGGCAGCTGCAAGTCACACCCTGGGACAGAAGAGGTCCTGGGGTTGAGACCTGGCCCTGATGTCAACCACAAGAGCTGACACTGAGACCCCTCCTCAGTCCCAGGCACTGAGGTCTAGAGGCTGTACTCACAGGGGGACCAGCAGCACCAGTAGCACCATCATTTCCTCGAGCACCCTGCAGAAGAGCGGGAAAAGTCCCGGTTACATTCTCTGAGCACTGGTCAGTCCCTTTAGCTCCTAAGGAACGCTTTCCAGAGCTCTGGGTTCCCCAAAGGGCCAGGAGTACTTACAGCAGGGCCAGGGGCTCCAGGGCGACCTCTCTCACCAGGCAGACCACGGGGGCCCTGATAACAAAACCAAGAGAAGCCAAGTGAGATGGAAGACACCCCCTTCTCCCCAAGCCCCCATCTTGCTCCTACACCCTGCTCCCTCCCTTCCTTCTAGAACTGGACACACTCACCATCTGACCAGGAGCTCCATTTTCACCTGGGCTACCAGGCTCACCCTACAGAGCAGAGAATGGTGTGAGGAATCTGTTCTTGGTGGGACTGTGGAGGAGGTGAAGGACCATGACCATCACACAGCATCTTACCTTGGGGCCAGCAGGACCAGCATCTCCCTTGGCACCATCCAAACCACTGAAACCCTAAGATAGGAGGGAGGGCCAAGTGAGACCCTGTGGAGACCGTGGACCACCTTGACACCCGCCCAGCCCAGAGAAGGAGCCTCAGGACGTCATCACATCTACCCCCCTGTGTTTGAGCTAGACTAAACCCCAACTGACCCAAGATCTCCCTCCTTCCCTTTATTGGGATTTCTTTCCCAACGAAGGGAAGTTCTCTTGGACATTTACTCTCTGTCCCTTGGAACTTCTTATGGAGCTACCACCCACCATGACGCATGCCAGGATCCTTTGGGGAAAGGACTAGAATATGACACTGGGACTTTGGGAACTTAGATGATACAAAGGAGACTCACTCTGTGTCCCTTCATTCCAGGGAGGCCAGCTGTTCCAGGCAATCCCCGAGCACCCTGGAGAGAAAGGAAAGAGACAAAGGCACGGCCGTTAGAAGACTCCGCTGTGGACACAGCTCCCAAATGAAGCCCCAGTGCAGCAAAGCCTGGAGGCAGCCACACCATCCTGCTCACCTGAGGTCCGGGAGGCCCGCGCTCACCGGGACGACCAGGCTTTCCAGCTTCACCCTGAGAGAAAAAGAAAAGGCCGTCATGCCCAGGCCCCCAGAGTTGGCAAAGTATGGAAGGCTTGGGTCTTCTTGGGATTGCTGAAGGTCAGGCTTCAGGACCCAAAATCTTATCTCAGTTTAAATGTACTGTGAAACACTTGCTTGGTGAACTGTGTCTCCCTCCAAAGAACTTCTGTTTATTTCTGTCACCAGCATTTTAATCTCACCACATGGAGTGAAAACCTGAGGTTACACCTAGGGAAGCCATTCACGTCAAGGATAGAGTTGGGGACTGCTTAAGGTGACTGAGGGGAGGAGAGGGACAGCCATGTCTGGTAGGAAGATGGGGAAACATCCCAGGAAGCTCCCTATTCAAGGGCAGTCCTATATGTCAGGGAGAACATGTCCTTCTTTCCCTAGGGTGTCACTCCCAAAGGTGGTGGAGGCACTAGGGTAGAGATTACAGGAGCCTACCCATGGAGAGGTGGTGGGGGTCAGATGGTATCTCCTCACCAGGGCTACTTACATCATCTCCGTTCTTGCCAGGGGGGCCAGGGGGACCACGGGGACCCATGGGACCCTAGAGGTGACAGGAAGAGAGGATGTTAGGATGACCAGGATAAGGAAGGGGAATGACCAGAAAAGAAGGGGAAGGCTAGGATTGGAAGAAGGAGGTAAGAAAGACCCCAGATGGTGGTCCTTCAATAGGAGAATCCATATATTTGTAGAGGGGGTGTATATTTGCATAGAGAATACAAATCAGGGGCCACTTACTGAGGCTCCGGGCTCGCCAGGCTCACCAGGGGGGCCTTGGAAACCTTGGGGACCCTAGAGGCCAAGGAGAGAGGGGTAGGGTTAGAAGGGCAGGTCCTTGCCAACATGTCCCCCATCTCACCAAGAGATCTCTGAGTACTTTCCTTGCCCTCATGCCAATTCTCCCTCTAAAGCCCAAAGCCCAAAGGGGTGTAGACATCCTGGATACTCACAGGTGCACCAGGGGGGCCAGGGAGACCACGAGGACCAGAAGGACCCTATGGAAGGAAAAGAAAGAGAGGCCACAGTGAAGCCTCGGTCATAAAGCTTATCTCCCCTGGTTCCTGTTCAGACCACTCAGCTGCCTCATGTTCTGTCTGGATTCTGAGGTCACAAAGGTCATCTTGACCTCCCAAGTTATCTATGCCACCCTATGCACCTTCACTGGCCTGTCTGCTCTTTTTCCGTCCTCTACATCGTCTGCTGATGACTCACCATGGGACCAGGCACGGAAATTCCTGTTGATTTCTCATCATAGCCATAAGACAACTGGGGAGCAAAGTTCTAGAAGAGAGAGTGCATGAGAAAACAGGGTCAGGGCAGTGAGTTGAAAGGCAGAAGATATCACCAGTAATGGGACCCAATGATATCACATTCTCTATGCAGGACAACACGACTTGTGGCATAGTCTTGCCCAAAACGCATCACTGGAATCTAATCGGGAAGACACATCCAACAAACCCAATTTAAGAGACAGTGTACAAAACAACTGGCTTTTGAAAAACAGTTCAGTGTCATGAAAGACAAGGAAAGTCTGAGGAATGTTCCAGGTGAAAGGAAACTAGAGAGACATGATAATTAAATGCAATTCATAACCCTGGATTGGATCTTGAATTGCGGGGGGGTGGGGGGATGGTGTAAAGCACATTATGGAGGACATTGGTGAAGTTTGAATATGGACTGCATATTAGATAATAGTATCACATCAGTGCCAAATTTCTACAACGTAATCATTATGTAATGCTCATGTAAGAGAATGTTCTAGCTCTCAGAAAATACACACTAAAGTATTTGAGAGCAAAGGGACACAATACCAGCAAATTACTCTCAGAGAGTTTAGAGAAAAATCCCCGATAATTTTACGTATACACAGAGACTGATAAAGCAAATGTGACAGACAAATTGTGAACGATATATGAAAGTTCTTTGCATTATTCTTTCAACTCTTCTTCCCTTTTTCCCCTATAAGTTTGAAATTATTTCACAATATAAAGTATGCCATCTGCCAAAACAAAACAAAACCCAGCAAATGAAAACACCGGCGGGGGTGGGGGGGCAGGGCTGGCTCCTAAGACCTCCCACAGAAGCCTCGACTCTCCACTTACTCCTCCGAGGCCAGGGGGTCCGGGAGGTCCGGGGGGTCCAGGGGGTCCGGGAAGTCCAGGTTGTCCAGGGATGCCATCTCGGCCAGGGGGGCCGGCGGGTCCCTGCAGCGGGAGAGGGCAGGCCTGGTGAGCGCAGACCGGGAGCCACGCCCACTTCCCTCCCCCGACAGCCGCGAGAGGGCGCCACTTACCCTTGGGCCTCGGGGGCCAGTGTCTCCTTTGGGTCCCTATGGGGTTGCAGGAGAGGAAACAAAAGGAACGGGGTTAGAGAAGAACCGTGAAGAGTCCTGGGGGGCGGGGTGTGGCGAGAATCGACGGCAAAGGGGCAGAGGATTACCTCGACTCCAGTGGTTTCTTGGTCCGTGGGTGATTCTGGGGGGGTGGGGAGAGACGTGACTTAGAGGCAAGGTTTGCTCCAGATGCTCCCAGAGACAAGAGGCCTCCCCTGATAGGGGCTAAGGAGCGTCCCCCCTTATACCTCCCAGCCCCCGCCCGGCCCCTGCCCGTCCCGGCCCAGGCCCCGAGCTATACCCTGGCCTTCGGGGCAGACGGGGCAGCATTCGTCCGTGGGGACTTTGGCGTTAGGACAGTCCTTAAGTTCGTCGCAGATCACGTCATCGCACAGCACGTTGCCGTTGTCGCAGACACAGATCTGGCAGGGCACGGGTTTCCACACGTCTCGGTCATGGTACCTGAGGCCGTTCTGTACGCAGGTGACTGGTGGGACTGGGGCAAGACGGGGAGACGGGGGCTGTCAGCGGCGCGCAAGTCCCCCACCTCGGAGCTCCAGGTACACCAACCCCACCGTCCCTTCCCTTCGGTCTTAGAAGCACATTTAGATTTTCCATTTCCCGCCTTTCCATTTTTTGTCCTTTTGTTTTTCCTTTCCCCAAATCCTTAAAAGCTCATCTGCTCCTCATCAGAGCCAGTGACAGCGCCGAGGCGCCTGGCCAGGGCAGCTATAACTCTTTCCAGTTCTCAGGAATTTAAACAAAGCTTTAGGCCGGGGTCGCTTCCAACTGTAACCTCAGCCCATTGGCGCTGAAGCCAAGTGAAATAAAAAGCCATTGGGTGGGGGTGGGGGTGGGGGTGGAGGATGGAGGAGTGGGAAGAGAGACGCCCCATCCCGAGGGCAGGCTTCTGGGGCGGGACCCTGGTTGGAGACCTCAGAGGAAAATGGGAGGAGAGATGGGAGGTTCAACCCAGATTCAGCCCCATTCCCGGGGCAGGTGGGATGGAGTGGGCGGGGCTAAGAGGATGGGGTGGGGCTGATTGGCGTGGGATCCCGCCCAGAGACTTGAAATGTACGGTAAAAATAGGGTACGCCCTAACCTCCGGCGCCCAGACATCTCAGAAGGCCTCGCGCAGGGACAACCCCCGTTTCCCAAAGCCAGCCAGTGCTCTGGGTCACTTAGTCAAAGAACCAGAAAGTCCGCAACAGTAAGTTGTTAGTTAACCACGCCCACCGCAGATCTTCTACCCAGACGGCCACTAGGTGGCGGGCAACACTAAGCAATTTCCCCAAACTAGCTATTTCTTTTAGAGACAGGGGCTATCCCATCTCCAGCTTTATTTTCCAGATCTAGAGGTGGGGTCCACACCCAGCAACAATCCCGGTCTTCCCGCTCCAGCTCCTGCGCGGGGAAGCGCTGGATAAGGACGCGCACTGCCCAGTGTAGATCAGCAGAGGGCGCAAAGACCCTGCGTGGCCAGGTCCGCGCCAAAGTTTCTCATCATTCAACCCGCCCACTCTCTGCGCCCCCTCCCCCCTCAGTCCAAGACCTCCGCGGCCCCAGGAACACTGCTAGCCCGCAGAGAGGGCAAACAGTCTTTCCTGATGAATCATCCCATAGCCTTCCTGATCACTGTTACATCTTGGGCTCCAAATTCCCGACTCGGCGCCTCCATCCCATCTTCGACGTACTTTCCCCCAAACCGGTGCCCAGACCCTATTTCTCCCGCTGTACTTCACAGTGCGCGCTCAGAACTCCTCCTGCGCCAATTCGTGCCGTGCAGCATCCTCCCCGCTCACTCCTGGGGGGCCTTCATCAACGCCCCGTCGCAGAGAGGGCACCGAGGAAGAGCCCTCACCATCTTCCTTCCATCCCTGAGCCTCCGGAGCATCCCGAGTCTCAGTTTAAGTCGCAGACCCCCGGGACCGAGCGCAGGGCAGGATAGCAAGCAGCCCTAGACTCCCAAAAGTTTGGGACTTACTGTCTTCTTCTTGGCCTTCTTCTTGGCCCTCCTCTTGGCCGTGCGTCAGGAGGGCGGTGGCCGCTAAGAGGAGCAGGAGCCGGAGGTCCACAAAGCTGAACATGTCTAGACCCTAGACATGTAGACTCTTTGCGGCTGGGGTGGGGGCTAGCGTCCGCTCATGCGTGGCCTCACTCCGCGTGCCTCCTGCTCCGACCCCGAGGAGAAACTCCCGTCTGCTCCGACCACCGGCCCGGGCCCTTTTTATACCATCCTGATGGAGAGCGGGGAGGAACCCTGCCCCCGGGAGAGGGGGAGCCTGCTGCCCGTCCCCCAGCCAATCAGAGTTGCCTGGCCCGGCCCCCAATTTGGGAGTCGGAACCGAGAGGGGGAGGAGGAGGGAAGGAAAGGGAGTCCACCGCACATCTCCCCCCTTCGCAGCTCTGCCTCCCCAGCCCCCCAGTTCAGTCTGGGCCAGAGATGCTGCCGCTGGGGTGCAGTTCGGTCCTCAACATACTGTCGGCTAAATAGTGGGTAGGGGCGCCTCTTGGGCTTTCTCTCTAGGACCCCCAGTCTCAGGGAGGGGACTGGAATTGGGGAGCTGGTTAGGGACGCTTTCAAAGATGGAAGGACTCTGGGTGATTGGGAGAGGGTCCTGCTGGCCATGCCTTGTTCACCCTCCTGACATCCAGAGCAAGAGCTCAGGGATGGGGATGGAGAGGCAGCTGGGGACCACTTTAAAGCAGGAGGACCAGAGAATTTAAAAAGATGTGCCTGTTTAGGGGTGTCTTCTGGTGTGGCTGCCGTATGGAATGTAGGAATATTTGGGGAACAACATAGATTCATTTATAGACGTTAAGAATCAGATCCTTAGGGTGGGTTTTTGTTTTGAGGATGTCAATTCTGCCATGCCTGAGGCTCCAGGATAGATTCAAATACTCTCCCCTAAACCCTAGCATGATTGAAAGAGATGGGGTTAGGGGGGCTGCTGAGGCACTGAGTGAAAAATTTGAGTATGCGGTCTCTCCAGAAGGACGCTTTGGTGTTGAGTGATGGGGCAACAGGGTGGTGGTGGGAAATTTCTAGGATTTTTCCACCCCAGGGGCAGTAAGTTTGCATGGAAGAGCCGTGGTCACTCATGACTTAGAAAAGGGTCTTGTGTTAGGGTCTGTTGCGGCCATGGCCATGGCCTGTTTAGCCACCCTTCTACCCAGCACCGTCAAACTGGAGAGAACTGTATTGGAGAGCACTTGACAAGAGAGAGGGTGCTCCTTCTGGAGGCGGTGTAAAACTCTGTCTCTGTCTGTACCTGTATTCAGGGTTGGGGACATATGGGAGAATTGGGGTGTCTGGGGGAAGGCTTGCCTTGGAGGTCTGAGGTGGAATTACAGGTGAGTGACATTATTTTAGAGGCTGTTTCTCTCTGCCTCACCTCTTTCCTGGAAACCCAGGGCATCGCTCTTTGTCCCTGGAACCAGGAGAGATCATCTACACTCTTAAAAGCGATGGAGACCCCAAGAACAACAGGCTATAATAGGAGATGACTCTAGAAGCCAGCGTCCTGCCTTCTCTATGTCCCAACCTCCCACCAGTACTCTACCCCAACCCCAATCTATCCAGGTTCCCGATCCTGTCAAAATCTGTGGGCCCAAGAGAATTCAAAGGGGGTCCCTTTGCAGTGCCCCGTCAACTCCGATCCCGCCTGTGCAGCTCCCCACCCCCATCAGTCCAGAGCTGCAAACGTGGAAGCGGGGAGTCCCGCCTCCCCCAAACCATCCAAGATTCCATTGCCTCCCCCCCCTCCCCGCCCCTCTCCACGCCCTCCCCCAGCTGGTTTTGTGCAACGAAGGCAAAGGAAAAAAAAAGACCAAGGGAACAGAAGGGGAGGGAGCCACGTCGGCTGGCCGGCTGGCCGTGGGCAGCCAGGATGAGCGGTGCGGGTGGGGCAGCACAGGGAGACTGCAGGGGCTATAATTAAAGGGAAAATATAGAGTTTCCAGAGCGGCAGGGCTGGAGACAGCAATGGAGGGATGGGCCTTCATCAATTATCCCCACCATGTGGCAGCAACTTGTGGCCCAGGATCTGCCCCCATCGTGCCAGCTACTGCAGGGCAGGGCTGGGGGCTGAGGTGCTGAGATGGCAGTTCCTGCCCCCTCCAGCGTGGCTCCGGGACAAGGAGCACCCCCTCCCTAACAGGAGAAACGAGGAGTCCTGCCCCTCAGAGTAGTCACCCCCCTGGAGTGGTTGTTTGGGGCGGAGAGTCACCGGCTAGAAGTGAGGGTTGCTGTGACCTCCACCTCCCTGCTCGCTGAGTTTTTCAGCCAGAAGGACTCCTACCTACAGTTCCCTCCCGACTTGGTCCCTGTTCAGGCTGGCCCTCGACCACCTTACAGGAGAGATTAAGACTCAGAGATGCAGGTTGGGAGTTGCTATATCAGGAGCCTGGGGTTCTGAAGAATATTTAGGGAACCTTGGGATTGTGGGGTGGGTTTTGTCAGTATGGTGTGTGACAGCCCCTGCTCCCATGTCCAGTTTCAGATCTCCATCCCAGGGGCTGCAGGCAGAGGTTTCCCAAGCATCCTTTACACGTGGCAGAGAGAGCTGAGGCCCAGGGCCTTCTTTGCCACTTTTCAACTTGAAACGCTTGGCGGGCGCCCAGCCCGAAGATGTGTCTCTAATTTCTGCAGCATGACAATGAGAGGAAGAATGTGCTTGGGGTCTCCTCCCAGCCTGCCTGGGCCTCCTTGGCCAGAACTGAGGGCTTGAGACTTGGTGTGGGGTGGGGGGTGGAGAAGGAGGGAGGGAGCTGAAGCCAGAGAGGGGAGGAGACGCCACCTCATCTTTAGGAAACTCTGAAGCTCTGGCTTCTTGTGGAATGTAAGACTTTGTCTGGCATTTGGAGTGGGGGGAGCAAAAGCCAAAATCTCCCCCCCCCCCCGACCCCTTAGAAATGGTAAAGTCATCAGCAGTCAGGGAAAAAAAATTCCTCAAGAAGAAAAACAGAAGGAAGAAAGTGCTGAGCTCTGAGTTCGCTCCCTTTCCAAATTTCCTCAAGTGCCCTTCCTCAGTGCGCTTGTGCTCCCCAGCTCCCCCCCACCCCTCCCGAGGAGCCCCTCAAGGCCTGGTCTGGCCTGCTGGTGTGGGGTAGAAGCGAAAAGGCAGCCCAGGTGCTGGTGCTGGTTGGTCAGCCCTTTCCAACTACCTGGTCCCCTGCTGAGGTTTTGTTGCCCTGCTTCCCTGATCTGACCTTCCAGAATGCTCTTCTGCCCCAGACTGGTGATGAAGAGAGGGTCCCTGGCAAAGGGGTTGAGGATAGAGGAAGGGAAGAGGTCTAAGAGTGAGGCTGCCGTGAAGACCTTGGTCTCCGTGTGATCCCGTCATGGGTTCCCATCATGTTCCCATCAGGGTTCCTGTTGAGGATCCCTGCAGTCAGAGTCTGGGAACAGATCCCAGGAGTGGACGAGTTTCTCTTCTTCCCTTTCTTCAGCATCATACTGTCTGGGTCCTTTGGTCCTTAGCAACCCGGCACAGCTCTGCTTTTTCCATGCCTCAGCCTCAACCCAAGTCCCTTGGTCTGAGATTTCCTTTCATCTCTTCATCTTGTCCAGGTTTAGAGGGAAGATGATGGACCAAGTGTGTCCATGTTGAGTGTTAGGTACCTATGAGACATTCAGTCAGCTGCATGGAGGGAAGCCTTCAGTATCTGAGTCTGGAATCCAGAGGAGAGACATATGTGGGACTCCCGCCTCCACTGGGTGATGACGAAGGAGTTGTTTCCAGAGAAAGTATGGAAGGAGGAGAGACGAAGGGCTCAGATGGAACCTTGAAGATCCTCAGGGTGAAGGGTCAGGAAGGGGAGGAGGGGCCTGCATAGGAGACACAACAGGAGTGGGAGAAGTAAGCAGGCAAGAAGGAAGATCAAGGGTGTCATGTATGCAGAGGGAAGATTGTTCTAGAAGAGTTCTATGTTGCGGAGAGCATTAGTATGATAGGGAGTAAAAGGGTCACTGGATTAAGCAGCATAGCAGTGCCTGGTGCCCAAATTGTGAGCTGTTTGGGTGGAATGATGGGTGAGGAAGCCAGACTGGAGTGGGCTGAGGAGTAAGTGGGAGGCCAGGAAATGGGGTCAGAGTGCAGACAACTCAGAGGAGGAGTTTAGCTCTTAAGGGGAGGAGAGCATGTAGATGCTTCATCCTCCCACCTAGCCTCCTTCCTTCTCTTTTTCTTTTTCTTATATCCCCACACAACTCCTGTCTTTTTGTCCCCAGCCTTCCCCTTCTTTCTTGTGGAACTCTGCTTCTTTCTCTATCCTTCCTTCTCTGGAGCTCTTTTTCAGGGTGACTTTTTCGATCTTCATCTTCTCAAATATCCACATCCAGTTCTTGCCTTCTTTTCACTTTCTTCGAGAGTGAGCCCTTGGTCCACACTCTTAAAGAGAAGGCTTGATTTCTAGTCCTGCAGATCCTGTCACATTCTCTGGGAACCCCGCACCCCCAGTCCAAGAGGAGGACTTTGGGGCAGGAACCAGGGAAGGAGCTGGGACAAGCTGGGAGAGAAGGGCTGGGGCATGGTGCTTTAGATGACTTTAGGACTCCCCAGGCCCACTCCAGCCCCACCAGGTTGTAGCCAGGTCCCAACTGAGAATAATGTCCTAGATAGGGATGTTGTCAGAATTAGGGGCCACAGTCCTAGTGTCCACTCTGGTGACTACAAGTGAGGGGCCAAAGCCCACCTTTCCTCCTGAAGCATAAGCTCCCTAGGCAGGGGCCAGTCAAGGTCATCATCAGATCACTGGCCCCATTCGCAGCATCTGAAGGCAGAGTAAATTCTTGTTGAAGATTGAGCGAGTCAATCAAATGAATTGCTAGTTCCCCCTTCCTGGCCTGGTTCAATTCTGCCCTTGTTTTATCCATCCCCTACTTCTTCTCCATTTTCTATTCTTTTGTCTTCCCCTACCCTTAACCTTTTCCCTTTTCATAGTTCTTTTCTTTCTCTCCTCTGCCTCCATCCCACTGGCCCACCCCTCCATCCACACATTCCTTCTCTCTCTCTTTCTCTCTCATATTCTCTTCCAGCATCTCTGGTGCCCCGCCCCTTCTTTGAGGGGTGGTGCCTGTCTCCCG